TCTGACAGCATTTGTACGCCACGTTATGGCTGGTTGAGGAGAGGGTACGGATGGTCCTCTGTTTGTTTTGACTCATTCTTGTCTCCTGCAGCTCCCTCGCTACTGCGTCCCCTGGCTATAGCGTAGCATGTAGCATTTCAGCATGTGCATAGGCGTCTCCTGAATCCCACTGTTGCCATGATGATGCTAAATTTGCTCACCCTGATGCCCACCTCCCCCCAAACAAGTCATTCCACTTTATTATGAAATCCATGTTACAATTTTAATATTGTATATTCAAATCCCTTTTACTTGCACTAGTTTTTATTGGCCATATACACACAATGCAGCCAAATACAGTTATCAATCCACTTAAATATGTTCAATACACAGATTTTGGTCATTAATCTGATGCCCACCTCCCCCCAAACAAGTCATTCCACTTTATTATGAAATACGTTACAATTTTAATATTGTATATTCAAATCCCTTTTACTTGCACTAGTTTTTATAGGCCATATACACACAATGCAGCCAAATACAGTTATCAATCCACTTAAATATGTTCAATACACAGATTTTGGTCATTAAGTGTAGCCATAGAGTGTATGGAAGCTGATGGTATTGTGAAAGAAAAATGACTTTCAGCATCATATTAAAGGCTAAAACGGTGCCAGTGTAGTGGATTCGGGCTGAGTTAAAAATACAAATTTCTCGATTTTAGTCAATATCTAATTTTGATGAACCCATAACACTTATCAAATCCCAAGAATTGATCTTTTGGTCTATGCTGTTTTCAGTTGAAGCATGAACAAATCAACTATCATGGAAAGACGTCAATAAAACAGCTTGTAAACAATATGTCACATAATGTTACATTTACCTTAATTTTGAAAGGCTATTATTTGACCTTTAATATAGTAATGTACCAACTTGATAGGGTTCCCTGAATAGTTTAGAGCATTAGTTATGAGAGGTTTTTCCTTGAAAAATGGACATGTACCTGATATATCCTAATGAATTAATATCAAATCAAATTTATTCAAGATAATTATTTAATCAAATTGCAAGCTTGTGAAATTTGTGTAAACACCCAGCCCTATCCTTTATAGAATCTCCTACTTTGTAATTTGAACATTTGCTGTTACCTTAGGAGGCTTTGTAAAGAGGTGTATTGTTGATTCTAGTTTCCAGTCCTGTTACATTGCTGTTCCTGCTTTCTATCTGTTTTGTACTTGTGTATGTATCTGTTCTCCCCATGCCTTTATAAGGTATGCTAACTCGTTCTAATTTTCTTTAGGCCTGGACAATCTCTTTTCCTCCCCTTTTCCTTCAAATCATCCTGGGGCTTCTGCATTTCACCTCCTGTTGTTGCAGGGAAATGTTACTGAGCTACACATGAAGTCTGTTGTTTTAGTACGATCTGTGGCTGTTATGGGTCTTGAAGTATCTAGAACTTCACGTGTAGTGTCCATGGCAACATTTGCTGATCTACTGTGTTGAATTTTCTTGGATCACTGCCTCATAGTTATTCTTGTTTTTTCTTTCTTCCACAGAACTTGTAAGGATGGTCATGAGCGGTTGAAGAATTCAAACACGTTTATTTTATTTTTGTCCGTCAGGCCCCCCCATGTATGTGATTTTTCATTTCCATTTAAGCTTTTTTTTTGTTCTTTTTTCCTTAAGTGCCTTTTATCATATTTCTGGAGACTTATGGCTCATTTCATTCCAAAAACTTCCACTGGTGTTCATAGGTTTGCTTGAGTACCTTCCATTCAGCCATTCATTCCAGCAGTTATTATATTCAGCCCGTTTGTCTTAAACTGTGAGGGACATTTTGATTGGCTCTTAATTGTAGTTTTTTTTTTTATTAACCTATTATCTAAATGTTTGTAAGTCATTTGACATCCCTCTTTATTGTCTGCTGTGTATCATAATAAATATTCAGAATGATCTTTGATTTAGTTTATTTGTCTATGTCAAGGCTGTGATTGTGGGTGTACTGTGTGTGTGTGTGTGTGGGGGGGGGGGGGGGGGGGGGGGGGGGTATGGGTTGCCTTTTAGGGCATTGTCGTACCAACCACTTCCATTTTAGTATAGTTAACTCTCTCCCAATAAGCAATACTAGACTATACCAAATTAGGAGTATGTGAAGGTGTTTGAATGTGTTGGCTGGGGAAACTCTCGCTGCCTTCATGTTTTAGTGGTCCTGTGTTTACCTTAGAAGACAAGTGGACTCCCTAAACAAAACTTAAAAAGGACTGTTTAGACATTATTGATGGTATCTACGTATAAGAACACCTTGTGTTCTTCAACCGCAGCAAGTGTGAGGGAGCATGCTAACAGAAAGAAACTCTTCTGAATGGCTATTGTGTGGTCCATAGTGTCGCAGCATACCCTTTTTAAACTTGATCAATGAACGTCTATTGTGATTGGCTGTCAATGTTTTTTTTTTTTTTTAAATCATCCATTATTGTTCTGATAGTGATTCTAACGCCATCTGTCATTATTGTTAAGGCCTATTCATACCGCACCATATAATGATAATATGGAAGCCTGTTTCAGAAACAGAATTAAATAGATATAAACAGAAATGTAAGGAAAAAAAGTTAGAATTGTGAGATATAAACTCATATATTATTCATATTTTTTCTTGCCATTCTGAGTTTATATCTCATAATTCTGACTTTTCCTCAAATATCCGAAAAGCTATTATCTATAGCTTTTCAGATAATCTATTCTATTCTATTCTATCATATATATCTATTATCTATAGATTATAGCTAGATAATCTCGCAATTGTTTTTGTTTCCACCACGGAAGAAAAAATATAAAAAGGTAACTGCAAATTTCAAAGTTTGTATCTCGCAATTCTGAGGGGGAAAAAAAGTCAAAACTGTGAGATAAGAGGTCGATAAAACATGAAGATGGGCGATGATGGACCATAAAATCATTGACAGCCAATCAGAACCCACCTGACTTTAACAAGTTTGAGCCTTTAAAGCAGCAGATGACAGAACTGCATATAATAATAATAATAAGAAGAAGAAGAACGTTATCATGTGCTGGTGTGGATGCTAATACAGTTATCTTTTTAGTTATCATTCTTGGTATGTTTTGTTTTTTCAGTCTGAAAGATAAATATTGCCAACTAGTGAATGAATGATATACTGCTATTCAGTCTTAAAAGGATAGTTCATGCAAAAATGAAAATTCAACATCATCCTCTCTCTCATGTTGCTCAAAACCTGTATGACTTTATTTTAATGGAAAGTACAGTTTGTTTTTTGTTTTACAATGAAAGTAGTGACTATGACTGTGAAGCTCCAAAAAGATTGAATTATCTCCAAAAGTAGTTACGACTCATGTTTTCTGAAACGGTATAATTGCTTTGTGCAAGGAACTGCTCAAAATTTAAGACATTATTTGCTAAAGATTTTCCCAGATTTTTTTTCTTCCAAGTTTAAATGTCACATTCATGATAAACTTGAGAGCTTCTTTTTGTACAACTGCATGATAAATGTTAAACTCTCCTTTGAATCAGCAATATAAGATGGGTTTATATTCTGAAAACTCTTCACACAGCTCATATCACTGATGATGCCTTTTATTGTGCAGAAACAGTATTTTTTAAACCAAAATCGGTCCATTCTAAGTCAAACAGGTGTTAGACAGCTCCTGCTACATCTCCTCAAAGGTCGAACTGAACATCTTCAAACATTCACACACATCTTAATGTAATGGTTACCAGCTTTCACCATTAAAAAAATAAAGTATAAACAAAATGTAAAAATTAAAAAAACGACAACTACTTATACCACTAAAATGTAAAAGACAAAGACCAAAGAGCTGAGCAAATTGATCAAATGACATTTTCAACACTGATTATGAGGTGTGCAAAACTGTGAGGTTGATGTGAATCTGTTCTGTCAGTAATACTGCATGTTGGACTACTGCATATGTGTGCATCCACATACATGTGTGAGGATGTAAACTGCAGGTACTATCACAGCGGGAGTGTTGATTCTGATATTGGCAGATTGTACATCCATCACTACTAGCATTTGTAGTTTGGAAACACGGCAAATTAATGTAGATTCAAATAAAAAAACACACATACGTACATACAAAAAGATGTGTGGCAAATCAAAGATTGCATGCACACCAAACACACACACACACAGTCCAGCTTTATCGTATAAAGCGACTGACACTTTCACATGAACATGTCAATAATACGACAACATCCAAAGTCAGAAAGAGAAGGAAACATTGCAGACATGTATAATATGATAACAGCATTATGTCATTCGTAATAGTGTAAAGAAACATATAAAAATACAAAAATAGGACAGTTACAATATGAAGATATGAGATACACAGACCACAGCTGCAAACATAGCTTTAAAATCCCTTGTCCCTACTCATCAGGTAGTTGCCACTAATTTGTAAAACAAAACGTTTTTCCTTCATGTCATAAATACTTTCTGTGGGTTTGGCCTGTTACTGAAACACCCGTGTGTACACACACACACACACACACACACACACTCTTTAACCCTTGTGTGTCCTTTTCATTTTTGTTATTTTGATCATTTTGGCTGTTAATGTAAACGGCATAAATTTTGTCAAAAATGGGTATTTTTTATTGGGATTCTATTTTACTCTAGGTATAAAAATTTGTTACACTCAGGACCTTAAGGACAAAAATGTCCCCACTGAAACCCATTAAAACAGCTATATTTAATCCCAGTGCCATTAAGCATAAAATTATGGATTCTTTGTTAATAGGCTCTCATTCTTCAACATTTTTACTACGTTTAAATTTTTTTATTTTACTATTTTTCATATTTATAGTGTGGTTCTTATGTGTGTACTGAAAAATTTGTGTGTGAGAATGTTATTTCATTTGAGTTAAGGTTTATTTTATTTCAAGTGATGAAAACATTTTAAAAATGATTTTAGTTTTAGTGCTTAGTACATGGAAAATAATTACTATTTTTCATAAAAAAACAGTGGCATTATGTAAACAAACTAGCATTTAAAGGGTTAAAATCCTAAAAATGATTGCATTTTTTGGTAGTTATGATCAGGACGGATGCTGGTAAAAACATGTATATCAAGGAAAGCGGAAAAAAATATTCATATCTATTTTTATGACCGTTTTTAACATGGACATTTTTGTCTTCTAAGGACCTCTGTGTAACATTTTTTTAAATTGACGCACAAGGGTTAACAATCTGAACTGAAACATCAGTTCTGGCATGAACACTGGATACTAAAATGTGCAATATGATCTCACTAAAATGACTGATTCAACTATATTTGAGTTGAGGAACCAATATGATTCCTTGCTGCATTTCCCAAAAATTTTTCATTGTCGATTAATCATACACTCCAATATTTAAGTATTCCCACAAGCATTGCAATGAGATGAGAATGAAACAACTACTTTCACCTGTTAGAAATGTAGAGTAAATTATATTTTGTGGCAATGACGTGCACACATACCCAAAAAATAACATGCAAACATCAATTATTGATGACATGATTTCCAAGTTTACAGTACATGTTGTCAGAGACAAAGTAAACAGATTTAATACTAATTTGTTGTCTTTTTTATCATGCTAAAATCTAATTGTACACAAAAAACAGGCCAAACCACTGAAGCTTTCACATTGTCCCAAAAGCAAAACCGACATTCACACACACGCATACAAATTAACGATAACCAAGTCAAGTTTCTCTTCAGACTTACTCCAAATCAAGTGCTTCTATGTAACAAATACAAAGATTAAGTAATAAAAATAACGTTGTTAAAAGAAAACATTAAGTCAGGGCTAATTTTGACTTTATGCTTCATCCCTCCAAAAAGTAAGAATCGGAAACATTCTCAAAGTGCAATCTGTTCTTGGTTTTCTTTTGTATGTTTGTTTCCATATGAGTACCTAAAGTACATTGAGATGCTTCTGGAGTGCAGATCACAGGTACCTTGGATCCTGTAGTTCGCCTCAAAGTTAAGAGATGTTACTGAAAATGGAGGACGGACAAGGGAATATTGAGCCTTGTGCCTGGTACTTGGATGCAGGCTGTTTGGGTAAGGAGTGCTTTTTGTTGGGTGTTAAGAGGGGTTTCAGTTTAAGACCTTTCCAAACGTCCAAACCAAAGGTCTTTTTTTTCTGTTTTATTTGTCAGTCAGTTTAAAGGTTATCTGTGTTTAGCTTTAGCTATTTATTTTGAATGATGTCATATTCAAGATGCTGGCAAGAATTCATTTATATAATTTTCTCCCAAAAATGATGCAAGCGACAAAAAGAGAAGATATCGCTCCCTTTATATCTCTGTCTCTTTTGCTTTCTATCTAATCTCCTTCATTTTCTTCACTGGAATCACTGATCCCCTTTAAATCTCACCATTTCTTTTACTGTGTTGGAGGCACAGGGGCATTTGGATAGAGAGAATCCCCTGGAAGTGGAGTGCTGGAATCTGGAGTAAAACAGAAAAACAAAAAAATCTATTAGACAATTATACAATAATTACATTACAAGTTAATATAAATATACATTATATAAAAATAGGTGCAAATATACGTGCATTCACTGATAAAAACTGTGAAAAAACAAACACAACGTGAGTCTGATTTTAGCAAACATTTCTAAAAAAAAATACTAATTTTGACCTATTTCAGTTGTACAAATATCATGAATAGTGCCAAAATCATTGAATCACACTGAACTGTGACCAAATTTCAGATTTCATGATGATCATTCAGTAAATATTTAAATCGAATCATTGTAAGAGCAAATAGCCTACCGTTCAAAAGATTTTCAGTCAGTAATACTTTTGAAAAAAATTCAAAATTAATTCAGCAAGATCAATTGATCAATAGATCAAAAATGACAGTAAAGAGATTTACATTGTTAAAGAAAAGTTCTAATTGAAATAAATGCTATTCTTTTTAACTTTATTTTCATCAAAGAATCCCCAAAAAAGTATCATAATTTCCACAAACTATTAAGCAGCCCAACTGTATTCAACATTGATAATCAGCACCAAATCAGCATATTAAAGTGATTTCTGAAGGATCATGTGACACTGAAGACTGGAGTAATGACTGCTGAAAATTCAGCTTTGCCTTCACAGGAATAAATTGCATTTTGAAAAATATATTAAAATAAAAACTTGTTATTTTAAACTGTAATAATATTGCTATTTTTATTGTATTTTTGATCAAATATATGAGCAAGACATAAAAAAACGTATCAATGCAAACTTTTGAATGGTGGTGTATGTATACATCTACTGGACAGCTACTGTGTGTAGCGTGCATACATGTGTATGTTTCTGTCATTACCATGCGCTGCTCCAGTCTGTGCATTGGTGGGGGGAGAACTGTGAGAGGCAGGGGGTGGAGCTTCATTG